ATTCAGAAGCAATTCAATGGCAGTGGGTCTGGTTTTTCAGTTTCGTCAGTACGGCTGCCATCGAGAGTTTAGTATCCGGACTGGAGGGCGGTGCTCGAAAGTTAAGGGTTCTGCATCTCTTTGAATGCTGCCCCGGCGAGTCCATTTACTTTGTTCATTTGATGAGCTCTGCTCATATCTAAGTGCACTATGCCTTCTTGTTCGCTAGCAATTGGTAGTCATTGGGGCCTGGGTTGTCTCTGCCCTTCAAGCTGCCTCCTTCAATGACTCATGGACCAGCACCAGTTTGCGATAAATTGTCTTCCACTCGACAGTTAGCAAGAAAATATGGCCATATCAGGCAATTCCTGAGCTGGGAAGTAGGTTATCTCTGGGATTGACATGTGAATGTTGCCACCAATGAGCATGGTACCTGAGGAGTTAAGAGTCGAGGATCATACAAAGAATAGAAAGATCTTGTATAACAATAAATCTCCATTCCTGATCCTTGGCCAGGAAGTCTTCCCAATTTGAAATGAGATCCAGGTCCATTTCCCCTCTAATAAAGGCCTTCTTGTAACAGGGAGAACAATAAGGTGGATATGTCATTCCGGGAGTTCATATGGCAGAAACCAAGTTTCCGTGTGTGAGTGTATGCATGCCCCCCACCCCCACCCTGCTTGCCCCCCACAGAGGCCTTGAAGGAAGCAGAGAGGGCTTCTGCGGACCCTGGACTCTCACGGTTCTCAGGTGCCCTGAGAAGAACCTAGTGTACCCTCATGCACTGCTGGTGGGCGTGCAAGACGGGGCAGTTGCCTTGAAAAGCAATTGGTCAGTTACTTAAAACGTTAAAGACAGAGTTACAGTATGAGACCTAGCAATGCCACGCCAAAGTATATGTGATGGGGCTTAAGAAAGTTTGTGGGGAAATGGAATAAAAACCTAATGGAACGTTCCCATAAACTCTTTGAAGTCCCTTCATAGGCAAGACGATTGGAAAAATACATCTACATAGAAACTCTTACGTGAAGGTTCGTGGTAGTGTTCCTCATAGCCCCAAAGTGGAAACAACTCAAATGTCTATTACCAGATGGAAACACCATGTGCTGGAGTCAAAAGGGGTGAGGTCCTAATACTTGCCACCACATGGATGGACCTTGGACACGTGCTGAGTGGAAGAAGCCAGACCCTGAAGTCATGTCTTTTACGACTTCGTTCTGTCTGTCACAGAGGGAGTGATACCACCCCCTGCGGTGCTGGGATGATCCACGGGGCTGCAAAAGCAGATACATGCACGGTATCCTGGGTTAAGGGCTATGGCACAAAATGTTTTTCATTTCTAGGGGTGTGATGAGTAATTTATATTTTCCCTGAAAGGAGGGTAGTAGGATAAGTAAGTTTGGGAATCTCAGATTTATATGAAACCATGAACAAGGGAGAGCACAGAGGGACGGGTGCATTTGAATGACGGTGTTGGCAAAGGATGTTGAAAGGACCATGAACTTCCAGAAGAACAAACACATCTGTCTTGGAACAAGTACAGCCAGAAGGGTCCTTCGAAAAGGACACATTTTCAGAAGAGACCAGTCCCTGGAAAAGGACATTATGCTTGGTAAAGTAGAGGGTCCGTGAAAAAGTAGAAGACCCTCAAAGAGACACATTGGCACAGCGGTTGCAACAATGGCTTCAAACATAGCTGTGAGGCTGGCATATGC